AAAATATTTCAGAAGCATTATTTTTCAATTATTATTCAATTAGTCTAATAGTACTTATGGATTTTTAACGCATTTAACAGTTTATAGCTGTGGCCTAACATACAACATTAAAAATAAACAAATACAAGTTCTAGAAGTTTACAGAAAGTTCTAGAAGACCCCAGAAAGTCATAGTACTATTATATTTATATACGATTTTTTGAAATTTCAATTTGGGGTGACATTTTTTTAAAATAATCTGAATTAAACCTTTCTTCATTATTTATTAAAAAAAGTCATTCGAATTATGATATAGGAAATCTATTATTTTACTAAATGTCAAAAAATCATAACCTTTGTGTGTGTGTGTGTGTGTGTGTGTGTGTGTGTGTGTGTGTGTGTGTGTGTGTAAAATATATAGAAAATAGGAAAGAACTCGTTAGGTAAATAATCCAAAGTTCTTTAGTATTTTTGTTATTATTTTAAAAAAATAGTGCTCGATACAAAAGTAGAGCATAAATATAATAATTTATTTAAAAATATGATTCCAACACGTTACATAAGAGTTCTCATATGTCAAAACAAGAGCCGAAAACTTCAATATAATTATTTGAATTAAATTGAATTAAAGTACCAAGCTCTGTTCCATCTTCAAACGAATTTTTTTTTTTTTTTTTTTGAAAATTCCCGCAAAAATTTCGCCATATCCACCTCTAATTTTTTGGATTAAAACTTCAGTGTCTAATTTTCAATCTGTAATATGACTCATTCGTTTTTTTTTTTTTTTTTTTTTTTTATTCTTCACCTTTTTAATCCTCCTTGGTATAGCCAATCTTCACTTCGGCCTGCAAATTTCTAAATTCTATCTTCTTTTTTGTCAATATTTCATTAATATTTTTATTTTCTTCCCTTTTTTTCCTTCGCTTTCTTCTTCGATTCTTGTTCGTCTTTAAATTTGTTTCTTTTTTTTTTTTTTTTTTTGTGAATCATTTCCCAGTTATTTCTCTGTCTAATTATTTTCCTTTTCTTCTTTTTCTTAGTCTTTATCTTTCGAACTAAGATTATAATTTCTGTGGCCCTCCTTCGATTACGCATGCGCGTACACACACAAACGCAGACACACACACACGCATATATATGTGCATCACAAATCAGGAAACATTTTGGAGAACAGATATGTAAAAAAATAAATAAATAAATAAATAAAGTCTCTGATTGGCTAAAAAATAAATAAAGCCTCTGATTGGCTAAAACAACGTGGCCTAAAGCTGGATAGCTGTTATTTAAAGAACTGTCTCACCGATACGAACATGAAAACCCAAATAGCAACTGGAAAGCGGAAAACCGTCTTTGATTTTGAGCATCAATAAGTGAGTTTATTTCTTTTTTGTCCCTTTTTCTCATCTAAACTGCCTACCAATTATTGTTTCCTACTGTCGTATAAAAAAAAACAGACTTAACTTTTGGAAGTCAAAAGTTTAGCTTCGTAAAACTATTTAACACGTTGTAATATAGCAACAACTCTAAGTAGAAGCTTATGGAGATTTATTTGACTAATTCAGCTTTAGCTCTGAAAACGTTTATTTTATTAGAGTGGACGGTTACAAACAAGAGGGGTGATGGGATGTGAGCGTTTTATTACTACACTCGTCGGTAAAGAAAAAGAAAAATGAAAAGAAAGGAAGAATGCAGACAAAGCGTTAATCCAAAATGATTTTTACAAAAATTGTTTGGCAAAATTGGACATTCGTGCCGGTAAAAAAAAAAAAAAAAAAAAAAAAAAAAATGGAATGTCAAAAGTACACCTTTTTCCTTGACACCGCTATTATTTTAACTACCTTCACTCCTCGGCAATGTTGTTTTAAAAAGGGTTGATTAAAATTGTAATAAAAACTTAAAATATGAAATTCTGTTGGTCAAATATTCCTAACACTACACATTCCGTTATATATATATATATATATATATATATATATATATGAAGAAATATAGTCTTAAGGTATGCTACATTTATGGGATAAAGCACTCAATATGAGAGATAGAGTGTATGTAAATATAAATATAAAAGGGATATTGAAGTCAACACTCAGAGGCGACAAGCTGTTTCATGCTAGACGCAATCGTCAATCGCCCTGACTATATATATATATATATATATATATATATATATACACACACACACAACAAATATATCAAGAAATCAAAAGAAAATAGTTGAATCCGTAAACACATCAATACAAACAATATTTCTACATATGAAAATATTCTCTTCAAACATAATTATATCAAAGTAATTGCGTTAATAATGAATTCTCAATAAACCCTGCTACCAAAATATACCGCATACATATATATATATATATATATATATATATATATATATATATATATGCGTGTGTGTGTGTGTGTGTGTGTGTGAGTAAGCAAATATATGGATATAGATCCGACAGTATGAAGAAAATATACTGAAAAAAAACAAACAAAAATCCTAATATGCGATTATGCTGTTTTAATGTTTAATGTCAACTTCGGACGTTTCAGTCTAATAGATCATCTTCAGGACATATTCATAAAACATAATTAACGTAGACCATATACAATCCAACATGAAAAAGACGATGGACATAAAAGCAATACCAATCCAAACAGATAACTAAAATCTTTCATAAGATCAGCGTTCCGTTTAAATATGATCACGTCGTTGCTTTTATGTCCATCGTCTTTTTCATGTCCATGTTCATAGTTGATATCATTGAATTTTAGTTTGTTTGTTTTTTTTGGTTTTATTAATAAGGCTTCTATTATTTTTAGCCTTTTTTGCATTTAGATGATGCTGTTATATCTGTGTTGTCAACAAGTATGTTACGAATAATTATATATATATATATATATATATATATATATATTATGAAATGGATTTTCATATAAATTATGAAATGGATTTTCAATAGTAACAATCAAGAATAATCATTTTCAGTAGCAACAATCAAGAGTAATCATTTTTAATAGCAACAATCAAGAGTAATCATCTTCAATAGCAACAATCAAGAGTAATCATTTTTAGTAGCAACAATCAAGAGTAATCATTTTTAGTAGTAACAATCAAGAGTAAACATTTTCCATAGCAACAGTCAAGAGTAACCATTTTCAATAGTAATAATCACGAATAATCATTTCAATAGTAACAATCAAAATTAATCGTTTGTAATAGCAACAATCAAGAATAATCATTTTCAATAGCAACAATCAAGAGTAAACATTTTCAATAGTAAAAATTCAGAGTAACAATATATTGAAAAAGATTATCTGAAATAAGTCAAGAATTTTTCTATACTAAGAAAGTTACTTCGTGAGACTAACGGATAAACAGCCAATCAAAAACTGCTTATTTCACGTGTAACAGCCAAATATTTATTTTCAATTCTTCTTGTTGAATTCTTCACCTCTATTGTATATTATCTATTACTGTACATAACTAGGTTACCATGAGACTACCGCATGAAAATTGCGATATAGCTGAGTCGGGGGCCTCGTATCGTACATTAGGGGCACGAAACCCTTGGGCCAGCTCTACTATTAGATGTGGAACACGAGTCTAAAGAGACTCGCTCGCTTGTGTTTGTCATCTGGCAAATCGTAATTTCTTTTTGTGTGTGTGTGTCGTGGTTATTAGTTTTTTTGCTATTTTTCATCATTTTACCCCACCCTCGCCCTCAAACAACGCGAAAATGCCACTAGTACAATGGGAATTTACAGAGAGTGAAAGTGAATGTGAAGACCGAGAATAAGTAGGATTAAGGAAAGGACAAAAAAAAAAAAAAAAAAAGAACTGCGTTCAAGAAGATAGGCAATTGACGTTGCATTTAAATTTTTGAAGATTGTAGTTATCAGGGAAGCAAAGAAACCGAAGGGACTTCCACAGGCAGGAAGTGCGAGAAAATAAACTGTTGGAGTAGAAGCGTTGGTTGCATCAGGTACTTCAACAATAAAAGATTGGAACCTACATGCCAATCAAGTAGCACGCTTAAATTCATGTAGTCGAGGAACCAGGGAATAAAAGCTCGCCAGAGCAGTTTTCATGAAAATATCTGTAGAAAAGACGGAGGAAAACCATATCAAGTTGGTGAGAAAGTTACTGAAGTCGGGACGCCAGGTTAGGACCTATCACATCACATATCTGTCTTTGGATTTTGTCAAGAACCTCGTGATGGCAGCCGTCTTCAATGCGCGGACAAATGATAAATTTTTAAATGAGCAAGATGGAGTCAGAGGTGAAATTGTTCCTGGCGTTTTTTAGACTTACTCGCCATTGACACGCGAAACATCTTACTTAAACCATCGCCATTCTATACAAAACCACACAGAGCACAAGGGAAAAAAGCTCATCATAGCAGTCGCAATGAAAATATTTGTAGAAAAGACAGAGGGAAGCCACGTCAGGTCGATGTGAAAGGGACAGAAGTCGAGATGCCAGGTCAGAAACGATTAAATTGCAGATCTTTCTTTGGATTTTGTCAAGAACCTGGAGATGAATATGGCAGCCGTATTCAATGCACGGACGAATTGACACATCTTACTTAAACCATCGCCATTCTATTCAAAATTAGACAGGACACCAGACTATAAAACTCATCATAGCAGTCGCAATTAAAATATTTGTAGAGAAGGCAGAGGGAAGCCACGCCTAGTCGATGAGAAAATAACAGATGTCGAAATGCCAGGTCAGAAACGATTACATTACAGATCTTTCTTTGGATTTTGTCAAGAACCTCGAGATAAATATCAGGAGCACCAGACCAAATATGGCAACCGTATTCGATGGAAGGACGAATGGTAGATTTGTAACTAAGCGAGATGGACTCAGACGTGAAATTGTTTCTGGCTTTTTTTAGACTTATTCGCCATTGACACGCAAAACATCTTACTTAAACCGTCGCCATTCTATTCAAAATCTCTTCACATTTCTCTTTTAACATCTGTTTTCTCAAAATCTTTTACTTTTTTTTCCAGATTTTCTGAACATGGACTTCACTTTTGTGAATGAGGTAAGTACTTGCATTGCTATGAAATATCAATCAATGTATATAGGGCGTGTTCCAGAATGATGTTTGTCGTCGCTATGAATTATTGTAATTATAATTTAGACTGTTCGGAAAGTAATGACGTATTTCGCAGCTATGAATTTACAGCGAGTTAGAATCCGCGAATACATAACCCCACCTAAAATGTCTTATAAGTAACTCTTTTGATTGTTAAAACCCGATATGCCTTTTAAACTTTCATTCTAAACACTTTAGAAACATTTCAGAGCCTTTTAAAAGCATTTTTGAAAAAAAGTATTGTTGACCAATCACTTAGCGTAAATTTTCTTTCAAACGTACAATAACCGTTTTTAATGACGCATAGATCGATACAACCATTGAAAATACTGTGTAAAATATGTGTAACAAGACATAAAATATAAAGTTTAAAAATTTTTAAAAAAACAGAACTGTGATGATGCCCCCAGACTTAGCATAAGCCACTTTTAAGACCCCAGCCGCAGCTCTTAACAAAGAACAAAGCCCAAACACTACGCATGTTTCTTTATTACAATGAAGATATACAATTCTGACAATTTTTACCATAAAAATGGACTGTTATATGTTTTAAGTTACTTAAATAGCAGAAAAACAATACAAGAATACTTTAAATATGTTCTATCGAAAAATAAGCGAATCCTGGGAATTCTTAGCGAATAATTTGTACATATGTTCTTCAGAAAAACACGCAAATATTCGGGGTTTCCGTGAATAACAAGTACATATGTTCTAAAGAAAAATTCGCGAATGTATGAAGCCGCGAATGCAGAAACGCAAATAGGCGGGGGCACAGTGTATCTTTATCTATAAAAGGCAGGATGTGTGTGTGTAACGAATGCACGGCCGCAATTTTCGACAGATTTGCACCAAAATTTACATGCATATGTTCCAAGTTAACGGCAAGGCCAAGACCGACTCTGCATTTCCCAACTCCCTACGATAGTGGAAATAATCGATTTTTCATGCTTCTGCGGCAGTTTTCATGTAGTTTGCGGCAATTTTCTACTGGCCAGAGTGAGAGCCTATAGCTGGCTGCCACGAATAGGCAGGAAGATTCTACTGGCCAGCGTGAGAGCCAACAGCTGACTGACACGAATGTTAACTATCATGCTAGCATGCAAAAAAATCGATAGCTGCATTCGTCACAAGTGGGGAAAATCTAAATCTGCATAGCACTTTACTCCAATTGGCTTATTCGCTTGCTTAAACTCAACGTTTATTCTGATTCCGCAGAACTGGGTTGTGTGTGAAAAAGTATTTGTTGTTAACATTTTTTTCATTCGGTTTTTCCAGTTAAGAGTCCTTTTTTTAAAGCTGATCGTTTTGTGTTCATTTTGTTTAGTTCTTTTTTCGTAACAGATTTAATGTTTAGTATAGAGCTTAGAAAAAATTTCGTTCTGTTATTCTCACCCTTCTTTCTTTCTTTCTTTCTTTCTTTCTTTCTTTCTTTCTGTTCCGTTCTATTATTCTCATCTTTCTTTCTTTCTTTCTTTCTTTCTATTATTCTCATCTTTCTTTCTTTCTTTCTTTTTTCTTTCTTTCTTTCTTTCTTTCTGTTCCGTTCTATTATTCTCATCTTTCTTTCTTTCTTTCTTTCTTTCTTTCTGTTCCGTTCTATTATTCTCATCTTTCTTTTTTTCTTTCTTTCTTTCTTTTTTCTTTCTTTCTTTCTTTCTTTCTTTCTTTCTGTTCCGTTCTATTATTCTCATCTTTTCTTTTTTCGTTCTATTATTCTCATCTTTCTTTCTTTCTTTCTTTCTTTCTTTCTTTCTGTTCCGTTCTATTATTCTCATCTTTCTTTCTTTCTTTCTTTCTTTCTTTCTTTCTTTCTTTCTTTCTTTCTTTCCGTTTATTATTCTCATTTTCTTTCCGTTTTCTTTCTTCTCATCTTTCTTTCTTTCTTTCTTTCTTTCTTTCTTTCTTTCTTTCTTTCTTTCTTTCTATTCTCATCTTTCTTTCTTTCTTTCTTTCTTTCTTTCTATTATTCTTTCATCTTTCTTTCTTTCTTTCTTTCTTTCTGTACCGTTCTATTATTCTCATCTTTCTTTTTTCTTTCTTTCTTTTTCTTTCTTTCTTTCTTTCTTTCTTTCTTTCTTTCTATTCCGTTCTGTTATTCTCATCCTCCTTTCTTTCTTTTTTCTTCTTAATTTCTTTCGTTCTTTCTTTCTTTCTTTCTTTCTTTCTTTCTTTCTTTCTTTCTTTCTTTCTATTCCGTTCTATTATTCTCGTCTTACTTTCTTTCTTTCTTTCTTTCTTTCTTTCTTTCTTTCCGTTCTATTATTCCGTTCTTTCTTTTATTCTCATTCTTCCTCCTTTCTTTTTTTCTTTTTTTTCTTAATTTCTTTTCTTTTTTTTTTTTTTTCTTTCTTTCTATTATTCCGTTCTTTATTCTCATCCTTTCCTTTCTTTCTTTTTTATTCTTCTTTTTTTCTTAATTTCTTTCGTTCTTTCGTTTTTCTTTCTTTCTTTCTTTCTTTTCCGTTCCGTTCTATTATTCTCATCTTTCTTTTTCTTTCTTTTTTCTTCCGTTCTATTCCGTTCTATTTCTTCTTTTCTTTCCGTTCTTTCGTCTTTCTTTTCTTTTCCGTTCTATTATTCTCGTCTTACTTTCTTTCTTTCTTTCTGTTCCGTTCTATTATTCTCGTCTTTCTTTCTTTCTTTCTATTCCGTTCTATTATTCTCGTCTTACTTTCTTTCTTTCTTTCTTTCTTTCTGTTCCGTTCTATTATTCTCATCTTTCTTTCTTTCTTTCTTTCTATTCCGTTCTATTATTCTCGTCTTACTTTCTTTCTTTCTTTCTTTCTTTCTTTCTATTCCGTTCTATTATTCTCGTCTTACTTTCTTTCTTTCTTTCTTTCTTTCTATTCCGTTCTATTATTCTCGTCTTACTTTCTTTCTTTCTTTCTTTCTTTCTTTCTATTCCGTTCTATTATTCTCGTCTTACTTTCTTTCTTTCTTTCTTTCTTTCTGTTCCGTTCTATTATTCTCATCTTTCTTTCTTTCTTTCTTTCTATTCCGTTCTATTATTCTCGTCTTACTTTCTTTCTTTCTTTCTTTCTTTCTTTTATTTACTCACTGAAACCAAGTAATGTCTTTTCCTTTCTTTTCATACAATCAAAACGCGGAATAGTCCTTTATTTATGAGTCATTGGATAGCAAACATTTATGAATAAACTAGAAAGATCCGTTAAAATTTCACAGTTTTAATATCCTGATGAATCTTAATTCTTAAGTTAATGATTGAATAAGATCATTGTGTGTTCTATAACGATAAAGCATCCGTAGTAATTCCCCTATCGCATCGTTAAATATTTGAGCTTAACAACTTTAACAAAATATTGAAATAACAATCATAAATATGAAGACTGGTTGTTATTTTATAGTTTTATAATTAATTAAGAATAAGTATTATTTACTTTAAATTTAAAATAACACAGAAATACATTTTTAAATAAACAGTGGCTGTGTTTTAATACGACAGTAGCCATTTTAACGTGTTTGACGAGTGTTGAGAAGTGACGAAAATGTGATAACAGCTTTATTGTTGTCCTGCAAAACATAATTTAAGGAAATGACGTGAGCGCCTTTTTTTATATCATTTTTAAGTACTCAATTATAGAAAGGGGCGTAAGGCAAGGATGCGTCTTCTCACCAGACCTGTTCAACCTATACAGTGAGGCAATCATGAGAGAATTGGAAACCCTACCGGGATTTAGCATTGGCGGCCACAATCTTAACAACATAAGATACGGAGACGACACAATACTGATAGCAGACAGGGACAAGAAATTATAAAACCTCCAACAGAAGATAGTGAGGGAGAGTGAGAAGAAGGGACGAAGCATAAACTACAAGAAGACAGAGTGCATGGTCATCAGTAAGAGGAAGAGTCCGAAATGCAATTTGAAGGTCGGGAACACTAGAATCAAACAAACGCGGAAGTTTAAATATCTTGGAAGCGTTCTGACAGAGGACGGTAAATGCGACACTGAGATCCGTAGACGTATTGGGATGGCCAAGGACACATTCCAAAAGCTGGGCAGAGTATTGCTAGACAGGAGGATTTCTTTGGTAACAAAGAAAAGAATACTGAGCTGTTACGTGACATCTGTCCTCCTATACGGCAGCGAATATTGGATGATTTCCTCAAAGATGAAGAAGAGACTCAAGGATACAGAGATGTGGTTCTACAGAAGGATGCTAAGAATATCATGGATTGAGCGTGTGAGCAACGATGAGGTCTTAGAGAGGATGCAAACAAGGAGGAGGTTTATACTTAATATCAGGAAGAAGCAGCTGAAGTTTCTAGGACACATAATGAGGAAGGAGGGCGTGGAGAATCTGACATTCATGTGTCGAATAGAGGGAAAGAGAGGCAAAGGAAAAGAACGCGTGACATACCTGGTGGGCTTAAGCAAGTGGATGACAGAACGTGGTCTGGGGGAGGAAGCAGAGGGAAGGAATTTTTTGAGAGCTGCAAGGGATAGAGGCTGAAATTTTAAGAGATTTAAAACGTAAAAAAAAGATTTTAAAATTAAAAACCAAAATAAAAAAAATTCTTTTAAAAATTCAATATTCAGCGATTTTTTTTCTCTTAAGGCTATTATGAGAGGAGTATCCTAGAAATAATGACGTATTTCATCGCTATTAAATATTTATCAATAATTAGTGTATTCGAGAAGTAATGTCGTATGTCGACGCTATAAATTATTATTTATTAGTGTGTTCGGAAAGTATTGACGTATTTCATCGCTATGAATCAATATTAGAATATTCAGATAATTACGTATTGAACCGCTATGAAATATTAATCAATATATACAGCGCCCGATGGATATATTGTCGTCTAAATGACGCAAAACTGAAAATAATACTGACATCTCATTTTAACAGGTATATTTACCAAAATTACACAAAAAATACCTTGAAATACTAAAGAGTAAATTTATTCAATAAAATCGCCACTGGTTTCAGCCACTGCCTCGAAACTACTTCGGAATCTCCTGCAACTCTCCCGGACGGTCTCCTTGTTTAAGTTGGTGAATGCTGCCATAATCTTTGCCTTCAGTTCATCTTTGGTGTTACGAAGAGTTTTGTTGGTCTTTCATTCAACTGCGTCCCACACATAATAATCAAGGGGGCTGCACTCTGGGGGAGTGGGTGGCGCTAAGCGGTCGCAGAAATTGTCTGACAGCCATGACTGGGTTTTCCTGCTAGTGTGACATGGTGCGGATTCTTGTTGCCAAACATAGGGTCTTCCAGCAGCCATACCCTTAATCCAGGGCAGCACTTCCTCCTCAAAGCATTTGATGTAGGCCTCTGTGTTGAGTCTGAGGCCCTCACCAACAAATTCGGGAGTTCTATTCTTATCAGAACGATTAGGGTTTTCCGAGCTGCCGTACCTTCGTAATCATCATTACATTCATCCATCTCTTTCCGAATCCTCAGCACTGTACTCAGATTGACACCCAAACACTCTGAAATGTTCGTATTGGAAGTTCCGGTGCGAATGCCAAGTAATCCCTTTTCCAAATTTCTGGCGGTGTGAATTACGTCATAGTGCTCTTTTCCTCACAGACGATGCCCAACTAACCTTACTATACAGCGCAGTCGACAAAATCAAAAACAAACAACGCGCATGCGCTAAATTAAAAATATAAAATGGCGACAATATATAAAAAAAATTAAAATCGCAGCCTGTTCGGAAAGTAATGACATATTTCACTGCTATTAATTTATATTAGGGTGTACGGATAATGACCGGAGTGGTAATTATATATTATGTTGTTCGGAAAGTAATGCCGCATTTCACCGTTATTAATGATAGTAATTACATATTAGTATGTTCTGAAAGATTTCATCGCTATCAATTCTATTAATCTGTACTAGGTTGTTCAGAAAATGACGTATTTGATAGTTATGCAATATTAATCTATATATTAGGCTGCTCGAAAATTAATAACGTATTTCATGGCCATGCAATAATATACACGAGGGTGTTCGAAAAGTATTAATGTATTTCACGGCCATATATATGAGGATGTTCGGAAAGTAATGTCGTATTTCACCACGATGAAATATGAGGGTGTTCAGAAAGTAATGTCGTATTTCACTGCTATCAAATATTATATGAGGGTGTTCAGAAAGTAATGCTAATGCATCGAGCTGCGTGCCCTCTCCGATGGTTCGGGCACGCAGCTCGACGCCCGGTGGGGTGGGGGAGAGATCATCCGCGATGTACTTCTCCTTCCTTCTCTTCCTGGCTGGCGAAAACGTGTCGGTGGGCAGCTGAGGACGTGGGCAAGCACAATCAAGGATGACCTAGCAGTACTATCGGGTCCAAAAGTAGTTCTTCGACGATGGAATCGCGATTGGCTCGCTATTTCGTGTGACCTGGCTCAGGATCGGCGAGCGTGGGCAGCGATGGTCCGTGATGCTGTACTTGCTCGGGAGGAAGTCGGTTCAACCCGACCAGGGTGAAAACCGATACAAGTCAAGTCAAAAAACGTAATGCCGTATTTCACCACTATGAAGTATGAGGGTGTTCGGAAAGTAATGCCGTATTTCACTGCTATGAAATCATACCTATTATAAAACCCAGGTTGTGTGTGTGTGTGTATGTGTGTCTGTACGTTTATATATTGGATCGGATTTCTTACATTTTTCAACCGATTTCAACAAAACTTCACAGGACTACGTAAAATTACCTTGCGGTGGTTTTGACAGCACCAAAAATTGGAAAAATACAATTGTTTTTGCACAAAATCAATTTGAAAACATGATTAAGAGGCATCGCGAGAATGAAAGGGGAACATATCGA